ACACACACACACACACACACACACACACACACACAAGCATCCAATTGGGGATGAGAACCTGCACTGGTTGCAATGGTTGGCTTGCTCCTCCAGGGGGCACACTGAACATTTCACTAACCAGTAGTTAACTAAGGAAGGAAAGGGCACAGTTTAGTGGGGACAGGCTGGCCTTGTGGTTTAAAAGACACTAATTTGAGTCAAACTCCTAGGTTCCAAAGATCTTGAAAACGGAAGGGTGAAACAGTAAATATTATTTACTATTATTTCTCCGACAACTTTTAAACATCAAGACTGGAGAAGAGCCTTTCAGCTCAGTGGTTAAAGTCATTGACCCTGACACAATAGTCCTGGTTCTACCACCTAATAAGTGGAAAACCTCTTTAAGTCTTCTTTTACAAAATGGAGTTTTGTCTACCTAAAGTATATTGCTATAAGTGCAAACAGAGGAGGTACATGTAAAGTATGTCAGAGTATTTCAAGAACAGATTTTTATTATTATTTTTAAAGTCATGATCTCAGAGCTTCAGAGATGGCTCAGTAGCCAAGGGTCATGATACTCAATTATCAGGACCACAGTTCAGACCCCAACACCAACGTCAGGAGGTTCTCCAACACCTGAAACTCTAGCTCCAAGGGATCTGACACCCTCTTCTGGCCTCCATGGGATGCCCACACAAGTGTGTATACATACCAACACAGATACACACACACACACACACACACACACACACAATTAAAGTAAAATACGTATTTTTTAATACATGGTCTCACTATATAGCCTTGGGTGTTCTCAAACTCACCACACAGTCTAGTTCAGGTTGTCTCTGAAGTTGTAATCACCCTGCTCCCACACCCTGAGCGCTGGGAATATAGACATGTGCCATCACACACAGCTTCAAAGCAGTTTCATTCTGGGTGCCAGCTCTACTCCGGAGGTGCTGACTTCACTGACCCTTCCATTGAGAAGGATTTGAAGGGAACATTTTGTCTCTATGGAGGGAACTGATTGACGGGTCATTTCTGCCATGGATAAAAGGCTGAACAAGTGGGAACATGGCAGTAATGGGAGATGCTGTCTCAGGGCATTCTCAGCAGGGTGGTACCAGGGGGACCTAGATCTGGAGCACATCATTCCATTGAACTCTGAAAATGGGACACTTTGCTAATCTCCTTCTTTCTTTGCCACTTTCTTTGGGGGAGATTTTCTTGATTCAAAGTTTAGAACAAAAGTCAAGAGGAGTGGCGCACACCTTTAACCCCAGCACTCGGGAGGCAGGGGCAGGTGGATCTCTGTGAGTTTGGGGTCAGTCTGGTCTATGCAGTGGGTTCCAGGACAGGCTCCAAAGCTACAGAGAAACCCTGTCTCAAAAAAAAAATCTAAAAATTTCAGAAAAATCTACCCTTCTTGAGAAAGACGCTTTCCTGTCTCAACACCCTATTCAGTCTGGAGGCCCCTCTGTAGCATGAGGCATCTACTACGTACAACGGTGTGTGCTTCGCTTCTTTCTCTACACCCCACAGTCATTTTCCTTTGACTGTTTCTCCAGCCTAATTTCAATCTGAATTGAAACATCTTATAACCTAGTTTTTGCTGAGCACTGACACAACTGTGAAACTTTCCCCACTCACCAAAAATGTCCACCTCCCCTGCAGCTGCTGGCATCTCCATCATTGCCAAGAACCTCCCACCAACCCAGACGAGAGCCTTTCCTGTAGGCTCTCGGGAGGCATGGCTAACTGTGGAGCAAGACTGGCAGACATGGTAGAGAAAATTCACTGGTTTATACCCAGATCCCAGCACCCATACTGAAAAAGCTAAGAGTGGCCAGAAGCCTGTAATCCTGGTGTTAGAGCTGGGGCGGAGAGCAGAGGATCACTGGGGATTACTGGACAGACAGTCCGGCCAAAAACCATTGTGCTTCAGGTACAAGAAGATAAAAGCCTTCTGAAGACAGACAGGCAGTTTGTGGACACTGGGGTTTGACTCAAGAGCTCCTGAACCCTGACCACCGTGAGGCATTCCTGTGACTACCTTTCCTGTTACAAGGAAGGCCTTCAAGTAATCCCAGAACTTTGATCTGCTGGATAGACCCTGATCACCTGAAATGACCCATGCTGCTGTAACAGCCATCTTGGCTCTTCTGAGTGTTCTACTGTCACATACACAGTAAAGGAAGTGCTACAGTCCCCTAAACAGCACACGTACAGGCCAAGGAGTTTGCTGAGAGTTCCTGGAAACTCACCAAGAGCACACTCCGCCTTTCCCCTCCCCCTTGGTGGACATGGGCTCTGAATGGAGAATCATAACTACCCTTCTAACACACACGGGCACATTTCCAACTGATTCTGACATGCTTCAGTGCATACAACTTAATTCTAGTCAGAATGCATGGTACAGAGTTATTAAAGCAGGGTTGCTGTTTTTGTTTGTTTTTAATTCAAGGCTATTTCCCATTGCAAGATAAATCATTTTGAAGTCAACACCTGTCCCTTTTCATAAATGCCACAGGAGGGAATGGGGAAGCCTCTTTGAAGGACGAAACATCAGGGAGGTCCTGGATTTGCCTGTTTAGTCTACGGCTTACTAACTAGTTAGCGGAGTGTTCTGGTACTAGAAGAAACATCTTCTCCCATGACGTTTGTGTTGGACATTGTTGGCTGGAGTAAGGATGACACTCTATGACAGTAAACATCACTGAGTTCTAAATTCTTTGTGTCTCAATTTTTTTTATTCCTCAGAAACACCCATGAAACAGGGACAAAAAGTTCCATTTTACACAAGAGGAAACAAGGCAGAGAACAGAAGGGGCTCACCTATATATAGTCACACAGAAAGCCACAGAAGAACTATGAGCCCAAGTGAAAAAAAAAAAGACCCTAACCACCACACACTGGGTTCTCTGAGTTGAGAAGACACCAGGCTAACGATGCCACCTGTGGCCAGGGCTTTGTCACTTAAAAAGATGACATTTGGGCACTTTCAAAGCAGAAGATTCCTGCTGAGAAAAATATTAAGAGGCAAACAGAAACGAATCCTTAGAAAAAGCACAAGGCAGCAATTACCACAGAAGGAAAAGTTCCACCATCTTGAGAACAGGAAACAGACAGGAACACTGGAGGCAGAACCGTGAGTAAACAACTCAGAACTCAGACACAGGCCTCAAGCCGCCTTGTATAGAGCCACAGAGCACTGGATTACTGAAATTTTCATGTAATTACTCAACCCTACAGGCTTTGGGACTGAAAAACTAAGACTGGTTTAAAAAAAAAAAAACAGTTCAAGTAAAGGATAGATTAGATTCAGCCAAGCATTGAGTACAGAATGTAATCCCAGAAGCACAGACAGTGAGATTAGGAGCTCTGCTCCAGTCTGGGCTGCATGGGACCCTATCTTAAGATGAAAAGAAAAAGAAATAGAAAAAAAGCAAAATTATTATTATGTTGTGGAAATATTCCACGAGAAAAACAAAATGAGGGAAAAATTTAGTATTTTGGGAAATTTCACTTACACATAGCCCTGCACATCTGATAACATTCATTAAACAGTATTATGCATATCTTTCTACTTCAACTAATATTCATAATCTCCTTATTGCATTTTTGTTTATTTATGTTGCATACATGTTGTGATATGCTTGTGGAGATCAGGACAACTTGTGGGAGTCAGTTCTCTCTTTCCACCATGAGAGTCCTGGAGACTAAACTCTTGTCAGCTTTGGTGACAGGCACCTTTACTTGCTAAGTCATCTTGGGGGCTTCAAAATTTCTTTAAAAAATATTTTCTGACTTATAATTGTGAGAAACAGGGTCAAGTGTACTGCTGCTGCCTTTGCTCTCAGCACTAGGGAGGCTGAGGCAGGAGGATTGTGAGTTTGAGGCTGGTTTGGGTTGTATAGCAAGACTGCCTCCCAAATACTTTTCTGATTTTCAGTTCTTGGAAGAGGTAACAATGGCTACTAATGTAGTTCTGTGGTTAGAGAAATCCTGTCTGTGTTGTTTGACTCAGAATTTCACAAGTCAACCAGATCAGAGTCCTGTGTTCATCCAGAGAATGTACTGCACACGGGAACATATTTTGAGAGACATCACCTTAAACTAGGCCTCCTCAGGGCACATGGTCATAAAACCACAAAGAGTTTGCTTTTCTTGACATGGTCACTGACAAAGAAAAAGCATCCTGCTGAGGGTAAGTAAACAGATGTTGCATAGGATCCCAGTGCAGTGGAAGCTCCCGTTAGGGCAGACACTATCACTAAGACAACAAACCAAAGACACCTGTTTAAGGCACTGACAGGTGTATTGGAGAAACTGGACCAAAGAATGCAGAGCAGACAACTGGTATTTTACAAAATCTCCTACCTGAGAGGGGATCTTATAGGGCTGGCTACCACCTTCACTACCTGGATGAAGACTCGGTGTTCTGTGTAATCACAGCACAGTTATCTGTGCTACTGAATTCTCAGGATGGAAGTCTGCTCACTTCTTGCTGGGGAGATGGGACTGTAAGGAGGCTTCTGGTAGTAGCTAGTCCATGTCATGGACTGCCCTTTATCTTTCAGGTGCTGTGTACCCCAAATGAGGAATCCAAATGATTCCAATGTCCTGGGATAGCTCTAGTCAGACAAATGCTGAGACCAAGTGTCTAAACTATCCATCTAGAACCCAGAAATTATACTTCATGAGCTAACTCATCCTTCCCTCTTGAAAGGGACACAAAGACCTTCTCTTTCCTCTCTGACAAATGTCTTGACAGTTCAGTCTACTTGATGGATCCTATATTTCATTTCCAATAATCCATGTTGTCTGGAAATGTGTGTATGGCAATATAACAGAATAAGTAGTTTCTGCCCTTCAAATCAAAACAAATCTTTACAACTATAAGAAAATGAATAGTCTTTTAATATAAGAGAAATCTGTCTTAAGGCATAGAATCACTGATGTTAGAGCTGCCAGTGTTTCATGGGGAACTCAGTCATGCATGCCCAATAGGCAGATGAACACAAGTCATTAATTTTGAATTTTGAGCTTTATTTTTCCTACTTAAATAAGGCTCAGTTGGAGGCCTGGGGGAAACCATTTTTCCATATGCAAAAAGAACACTTTTGGGAAGCCACATTTTTAAATCCTTCCCTACCTGTGTTAAGTCAGTCTGCAAGGTGGGAACCCCTCCTACTGATGGTGAAGTACCTGTCCCCATCTCTAAGGTAGGCAGTTCAGGCAAAGTCAGATATGCTGACTGTCCTGCATATACAGGGTCCACTGTCATCCTAAGCTATCACCAAGGCTAGCAGCTCAGTGTTCATCCCCTTTCTCCCAGGGGACACTGGGCAACTGGGGAAGGGGTGTATCTGACCGAAGTGTTAGTAGGCAAAGGTCAGAGATGGTGCTGACCATTCGGCAACATGCAGCAAGCCCAATACCAGGATTATTTGGTCCATTCTGTTAAGAAGTTTTATTAAACTCATAAGGCACATGACTACAATGATACATGAGTGCTTTCAATAAACCTGCACACAGCAACGACCAGAAGTAATCAGATGATGGGTGCTTAAATACTCCAGCATACTGCCACATTATAAAGCTAGCTTTATTTTTGCTTTTGGAGACAGGGCCTTGCTCTCTAGTTCAGGCTGGTTTCAAACTCACAGTAATCCTTCTGCTTCAGCTTCCTGAGTACTGGAATTATAGACATAAGCCACTATATCCAACCTATGCAAACTCTAAGCTTATGGACACGCAGCTAGCTTTTAAATCTGCTAAAGGATGTAGGTGAAGTCATGGCAGACCACAGCTGCTACCATATCATCGTACTCTTCTGTTATCTGAAAGTTCCAGCAAAAAAAAAGTTCTAGCAAAGAATGCTAGAAGTATCTTGTTCTCTTTTTAAAAATGGAAACAGCAAATATTTAAAAGTGAAAATAAACACAGGGGTGTGGAAACACCAGTCAGTAAAATGCCTGCTATGCAAGCACGAGGACCTGAGTTTGATCCTGGCACCCCGTGAAGAACTGGGTCTGGTGACATGCACTTTTACTCCTCTGCTGAGGAGGCAGGGACGGATTCCCGTCTGTCAGTCTGGTCCAACTGGTGAGCCCCAGGTACTAGTGAGGAAAGCCCATTTTTAAAGTGGTGGGGAGGGGCGAATGGTTCTTGGGGATAGCAGTAGAGGTTGATCTCCGGCCTCCATGCGGACGCATGCTCACACCAACAGGCAACAGAAGCATGCATGCAGACACACACATACACAGAGACAGACAGACAGAGAGACAGAATGAATAAAGTAAAAGTAAAAACAAAAACAGTAGGGAAATTAAATCCAATGTGATAATGAAAACAGCTTACAATGAGAAAAATTTCTTATGCCCAAGGTCAAGTGTGTTAATTCCCCCAGTAGTTTATTATGACATGTCAGCCCAGAAATAGACACTTCTAGACTACCCCCAGAAAGTCTCTATTCCAGTAATAAAATACTAGAATCTTCTCAGCAATGCTTTTTTTTCCCCCCAGAGGACTACACTGCAAGATTCACCCATACCAACAACACAATCTAAAATAATCACAGAATTGCCAGGTCGTGGTAGCGTGGTAGCGCAGACCTTTAATCCCAGCACTCAGGAGGCAGAGGCAGTCATATCACTGAGTTCAAGGCCAGCTTGGTTTGCAAAGCAAGTTCCAGGACAGCCAGAGCTGCACAGAGAAACCCTGATTTTTATTTTGAAAAACAAAAACAAAGAAAAACAACAACAAAAGAAAGAGAAGAAGGAAAGAAGGAATAAAAAAAGATAATCACAAAATTGTGGATTTCAAGAGACAGGAGAGTATTTAAGGTAGTCTCCAACATAGATAGATTCCAGCTCTCAGAGCAAATGTGAGGAAATCACCTTTACTGTCATTATCATTATCTTTGAGAGGTCCCCAAAGACACTATAGATTGTAGAAAAAAAAACTAAAAAGAAATGTATCTTATGCGAAGCAGAGAGGAAATAGGGGTGTATAAAATGCTAAAGATGCAAGCATATTAAAAATGCACAATGTAACTAACTTTATACTAAACTCTTAAATTATGAAAACTCAATTGAAAGGCATCCTGAAGCATTTGCCATATGGTATTTATTACTTCATGTGTTTTACTGTAGAATTACTACAAAGTTGTAGAAGAGAGAAAGAGAGGAAAAAAAACTAACCTTAAAGTTATCAAAGGTTCTGACAGTCTGTGCCAAGTCACTGACACTCCCTGGCGATGCTGTCCCCTGTCCCCTAGGGCCTGAGGACGCCCGTGAGTCGTCAATGACCTCAAAGCCAGAAAGCAGGGCCTCTGCACAGCTGCAGTGAGACTCCTTGGCTCTCTGGCCCGATATCAGGTATGTCTTCAAACCTATGATGGATAAAAATTACAATCAGCACAGATGGAAAGCACGGACGGCTGGGATGCAGCTGGGTCTTGCTCTCTGTGGGTGGAGAACACACTCCTAGAAGGTGAAGTATGGTGACAATGGGGGTACCACCATTTTCCCAGGCGACACAGCCTCAGAGGCTATTTGCCTCCAGACGCACCATTTATTTCTATAACGTTTGTGTTGAAGAATGGCTGACTACATGTTTTACCTCTGGGAATGAAAATAAATGTTAACAGTTCTTCCACGAAGGCATCTTATGTCTGCTGACTGAAGGAAACAGAAGAGACTGGGGGCTGGCTCAGATCTGTAAATATCCATCCCTGATCTCAACACCCGGCAGGGTCCTGCATCCAGGAAATTGTCCAGCTGTGCTGCAAAGGAAGACACAGACAGCTTTTCCTGGAGGAGTGCAGCACCTGAACTAGAGAAAAGGCTGAGCAAGCCATGCCGCTGTCTTCAAACATGCCTCTGTGCGTGTATCCCTGGGGTTGGCTGTGGCTTGGCATCTGGGACACCAGGTCAGTGTTCATTCACCACGTACTTTATCAAGCACTTCCTGTCTACGGTATATTATCAGGGATGCAGAGGGGACAACAGGACAAATCAGCTATTACGGGGACCTTGTGGGATCTCACTGAAGAGGGAGCCCAGATAAAAGAGGAGAAGGTGTGACAGTGTCACCACCGTGCAGGGTAAGGAGAGATGGGGTGCTCCAGGAGCATGAGAGAGGCCACCCTGATAGTCCTCTCCAAAACTGGAAGTCCGCTACTAAGACGGTATAAGGGGCAGGGCTACAAGTGGTGGTAAGACAGGAAAGAGCTCCTCCCTCATGGTAGGTCTGCGGCCCTTATAAAGGCTCTACGTAGTATTGGTAGCTTTTTCCTTCAGCCCTGTGAAGACAAGTTCTTCCCTCAGAAGGATACAGTTCTCACCAGAACAAATCAGCACTAAGGCCTTGATCCGAGACTCACAAGCCTTCAGACTGTGAGACATAACTTTCTCTTATAAATTACCCAGTCTGTGGTATTCTGTGATGGCAGCACCATTAGACTAAGGCAGGAAGACTCCTGAACAGTAGGTCCTCCAAGAGAGGTCAGCCCCGGCATCCATCCCCAGACAGTGGGTATTTCTAGAATAGTCTGTGGGGATTCTTCCAACAAAAGAGCCTTTGGCAGGTGTAATCATCAGGGGGTGCTGAGCTTAACGTGACTGGGACTGTATGTGTGGTGTATATACATGCATGTGTGGGTAGTATGTGTGGGTATGTGATATGTGTGTATAGTATCTGTGGTATGTGTAGTGTGTGTGGTGTGTGTAGTATGTGTGGTATGTGTGTGTGGTGTGTGTGTGTGGTATGTGTAGTATGTGTGGTATGTGTGTGTGGTATGTGTAGTATGTGTGGTATGTGTGTGTGGTGTGTGTGTGGTGTGTAGTATGTGTGGTATGTGAGTGTGTGTGGTGTGTAGTATGCGTGGTATGTGTGTGTGTGGTATGTGTGTGATGTGTGTAGGATGTGTGGTGTGTGTAGTATGTGTATGGTATGTGCATGTGTAGTGTGTATGTGGTAGGTGTTATGTAGTGTGTATGTAGTATATAGTATATAGTATGTGCCTGTGTATGTGTGTGTGTCACCAGAGTACATCAAGGATGCCAAAGGGAAGCAAGAAGAAAGAATAAGGAAAGGGCTGGTGGAAAAGATAGACACGATGCGAAGGGTGGTAGCGATGCTTCTGTCAGGAGTCAATACAAGGATAAGGGTATGGTGTTTGAAGAGAAGCCCTGAGCATGAGGTTCAGGCTCCATCACCTCTTAACTACGATACCTAGTCATCTTGTTTTCTCACTTGTGGGGTGAGGCTTAGAAGAAGACCAGTCCGTGAGACTGGGGTAATTGTCAAGGGTCCACACAAGGTCTTTACAGCTGTGCTCAGGACATAGCATGCCTGATAACAGCAGCTATTATTACCCATGAGGTGTTTGATCTGCCCATCCTCAGGAGCCTCTTTCCTGCTCCTACACAGAAAAACAGGTGTAGAACTGCTCCAAATCTGTCTCTAACTCAGCTCTTCCTTGGGGAGCTCAGAATGACCAACTTGTAAAGACAATACTACTCTTGAACAAAAATTGAACCTATGCAGGCATCTAAAACAAGGGAGTAACTTTTTATTTATGCTTCAACATGGAGAGCTAAATTTACAGTGAGTCCTGCTGCCCACACTAAAGGAACTCAGCATGAAACAGAAACACAGGTTTAGCTGTCCACCATGAGAAAAGTTAAAGGCTTGGGCCTCGCTGAAGTCTTAGGCCTGCGCGTTAATGACTTAAGTGTGGATGACCACACTTACAGACCCTGGCTTCTGATATGACGAATAGCTAGCTCATCTGGGCTGAAAGACCCCAATAAGGCAGACCAAATATTTACTTTGTTAAATGTGCATATACAGGAAAATAATTAGTATTATTTCCTGAAAGCTTTCTTGGCAATTCATTTTTTACCTCACCAACACTCATATCTTTTATCAGCTTCATTTTACAGGGCTGCAGAGAGGGGAGGTGCTTCCTAACGTGTTCCCACCTAGTGAAAAAAAATGTACACAGAGCATCACATGGTTCACCTCCTTGAATATTTTCATCACTCCCTTTCACACTGGAGATGGTAGCCTGGACCCAGTACAAACTAGGCAAGTGCTTTACCACTGAGCCATTTCCATTTGTAATACTTAAAATTTATTTATTAGCATACATCAACCATGCACAATGGGTTTCATTATGAACTTGCATACATATATACGGTGTATTTTGGTCATATTCACCACCATTAGCCTCTCCTGTCCAGCTTCCACTCTTACTAATTCCCTGTATCTTTTATTGCGTGTGCTGTGTTGCGTTGCATTGTGTTGTATTTTTTTGGCAGCCCAGCGAGTTTAATTAGGGTTGCTTACAAGAACATGGGTGAAGAGTTAGTCAAAGAAGCATGGGAAACTAACCAGTTCCTACACAAAAGGAAGGAAATCTCTTTCCCTCTCCCAGGAACCATTAACTGCCTATACATCCTTGGAGAGAGACAGGGACTTAGAAAACCCTCTCCCACATTTTTTCCTTTTCAAATTTTAAGACAGGGTCTTAATAAGTTGCTTGGGCTAGATTCAGTCTCATTTTGTAGCCCAGCCTCTGCCTTCTAAGTAGCTAGAATTCTAGACCCAACTTTCCTTGTGTATCTTCTGTGTGTGCATGTGTGGTCTATACACACAGGCCAGAAGAGGACACTGGGCATCCTGCTCTACCACTCTTCATCTATTCTCTTGAGACAAGTTCTACCATTGAATCTAAATCTAAGGCAGCAGCGAGCAAGTGCCAACAATCCTGCCTCCACCCACCCACTCATGCTCCACCTCCACAACATTGGGGTTACAGCCACACATAGCTTTTTAGGTGATTGCTAGGAATCTGAACTCCAAGCTCCATGATTTCACAGCAAGCTCTCACAGCCACTGAGCCATCTCTCCACCCCCCACCTGCTCTTAAGTATAGTCAGTCCTCTTCACTGTGGAGTCTTCATCTACAAATTCCACTGTGGAGCAAAACTATTGTTTCAGAAAATTATATCTGCGGACCTGGAGAAATGGCTCGGTGTATAAAGTGCTTCATTAGGACTGGAGTTCAGATGCCCCAAACCCATGAAAAGGTGAGGAAGATGCGGCAGTTACCTATAATTCCAGCACTAGGGAGCTAGAGCAAGTGAGCCAACTAGTCTAGTTGATCGATGGCTCTGGGTTCAATTGAGAGATGCTGACTCAATAAATAAGTTGGAAGGCTGTGGAAGACACCTAACATCAACTTTAGGCCTTCACATACATGCATGCACAAGCGTTCACATATGAGAACACATATACACATGCAAACACAAATACACATGTACATCACATGTGTATATATGAAAAACAAAAGAAAAATTGTTTCTGTATTGAACATATACAGACATATCTTATTTAGGGTTTCTATTACTGTGAAGAGACACCATTAGCATGGCAATTCTCAACAGGGAAACATTTAATTGGAGTTGGCTTACAGGTTCAGAGGTTTAGTCCATTCTTGTCATGGTAGGAAGCATGTCAGTGTGCAGGCAGAATGGTGCTGGAGAAGGAGCTGAGAGTTCTATATCTGGATCACCAGGTAGCAGGAAGAGAGAGCCACTGGGCCTGGATTGAGCATTTGACACAAAGCCAACCCCCAGTGACACACTTCTTCCAACAAGACCACACCTCCTAACAGATACCACTCCCTTTGGGGCTATGGAGACCATTTTCATTCAAACCACCACATGACATTTTTCCTTGTCTATTGTTCAGATAATTCTGTGTATCAAATATTTACATAGCATTTACACTATATTAGGTATAATGAGCAATCTAGAGATAAAGTATATGGGACAATGTATGTAGATTATATGAAAACATGACATTTTACATAAGAGACATGAACATATTCATATTTTGGTGTCCACAGGGAATCCTCAAACCAGTTGCCCCAGGGTTCCAATGGATGACTGTCATCAAGTCTTTGAGGACAAAAACTCTGTCTTGTACACACTGATGATGGATTTTAGTGACCAAATGTATGAATGAGCGGCACAGTTCAGTTCAGAAAAGAAGCATCTTCTAACCTGTCTTCTTCATTGGGGCTCTTGTTTTGGAATGAATTCCTCAGTCACCAGGACTCTTAGGGACTTGATGGTCAGTGTCAAAAAGAGAAGAAATAAAGAAAAGCCAGGAAAGAGTGCTTAAGACATGATGGGGGGGGGGTTAAAAGAAAAACATAACAACTGCCTAGAAGCTGATGTCATCACTGATTTAAAACAATAAACACACGAGAAGCGATTAGCTTGGGCTGGCTCATAAACATCCTAAAATGTTTCTTCCCTTTGTCCTATTTGAAATGGCCAAAAATATGAAAACTATTTATTAAACTAAAATTCAATT